GCGTCTACAAATTTATACTATAACAAAAAAGGCTAAAAGTTTTTGGCCTATTGAGAAAAAATCCATTAAGGTTTACAGTTCAAATCATAGTTTTTAAATTTCATCTTTTTTTTTTTTTTTTTTAACTTCAGTTTGAATTGTGGTTGAACTCCTCCACAATATCCAACAACTAATTCCTTCTCTCCATCCAACACCTAATTCTTTTATTTTGATTCTCTCCTAATTCTGCTCCCTAAAGGAGATACTACCGTTTCAAAATCTCAATGGATACCGAACATCGGAGAAAACCCCAGGCTGCTGCTTTTTCATGGCGACGGGATAGTCATCTCCTGATGCCGACTCAATCTCCATGGCTTCACAATACTCTCTCAGGTTTCTCTCTTTTCATGCCACTGAATTCATGCCTTAATTAATTTGTTTTTGTGCTATTTTCATCTGTTGCACTTTCCTTGTTAGATTGTGACTCCATATCTTCTTTATGTTTCCTGTCTTTTCCTTCCCATCTTAAGTTATCTTCTTCCCTTGATGGTTACATCAGAGGGAATGCCCCCCACACTGTTTGAAGACTGAGCCTGTTGGGGGTACACCTCATACTGAAAAAGGCAGTCCCCCTTAGGTAGGTGAGACATGGAAGTTATAAATTTGTAATATCAAGCTTCTACTCTTGACGGTGTTGAAATAGTGAAATCCAAAGAGAAAAAGTCTTTTGTTTGGCCTTAATTCAATTTTGCAACACACAAAGTTTTCTGAAACCAAGGAAAGAAGGCCCTTGAAAATTTATCAGGAAGGAAGTGCCGGGCCAACATTTAGTTGGATACATGTTCTTTAATTGCATTTGCTTCAAACACATGCCAATGATCATGAAGTAGTACTACCACTTCACAAGCAAGAAAAAAGAAGAAAAAGGAAAAAACTTTGCTTGAGTAACAATCATGCGGAATAATTTTGTTGATCTGTCTCCAATTTAACTTGTGGGAGCTTTCATTTGGGTAGAAGGCACATTGTTTTGTCCAAGTCCAACATCATTGGAGACACATTCTCTTTCAAATTGACCACCTAAGCAACAAATTGGGGCAACAAATAATCATCCTAATACTGTAATGCTGGCATGAATCACAAGGTTTAATAGAATTTAGAAAAATGAAACCCTGCTTTTATTTATTTATTTATTTTTTATTTTGGGTTGCATAGTAAAAAAACAATTATCTCTTATCTTATACTTCATCTGTCATGCCATTATAATTTAAAATTTTTTATTTTTATTGAAAAGAGATTACCACTGAAATTACATTATATTGTTATGGTTTATACAAGAACAACTTCTAATTATTCTTGTGCTAATATGTGTGCAGATGTGAATGACAAGACTAATGCCATACTGAAAATGATTCAAGATGATAATGGAGATTCATTCGCTAAGAGAGCTGAAATGTACTATCAAAACAGACCAGAGCTCATCAGAATGATCCAGGAATTCCAAAAATCCTACCATTCCTTAGCCGAGAAGTATGACCATCTTAGGTCCCAATTGCTCTATTCATCTCCCTCTATCACCAAGGTCGATGAATTGCAAAAGACTAAGCAAGAGAACACACTTATGACGTCGGATCAAAATGAGAAAAATGATGATCATCATGAGTTAATTGAGAGTGGTGTTGGATCCAATGCAAGCGCAAGTGATGATGACATTCAAAGGGTTTTTTGGGAGAAGGAGAAACTGTGGGATGGACTTAGATTGAAGGTTTCGGAACTTGTGGAGGATAATTTGCGGCTCCAGGCAGAGTTGATAAGGAGAAATGATGAGAAGAGAGAAGTCATTAAAGACCTGTCTATGGAAATGAACAGAGTCGTGGATGAGAACAGGGTTCTTAAGGTACGGTCTGTTCAGAGTCATCATTACAAAGTTACAAAGAAAATTGGATCCACATTGTCAAGACTAAAGAAACTAATCCTTGGGAAGGTTCAGAGAGCAAAAGTGAGTTTGATCAATTCGTAGTTAATGTATCATTCAATTATAAATTGAAATCCTAGAAGTACCAGTACTACAAATTTCCTACTCTAAGGTAAGGATTGACATGATTTTGGCCAAAGAAGATTGATGATTATTTTTTGTTTGGATATTTCAGTGTTTTGGAGCAAGCTTATGCATATTGTGAGAGTAACATTTTTTTTTCAGAGATGTTAAGGATCACATACATATCCATTCAAAGAAATTGAATGTCTAGTTAGTATGGTTGTGACTTTTAATTTTTTGTTTAAGTTTTTGTAAATTTTATAATTATTAAAAAGTAAAATTTCAAATTAAAAATTTGTTTAAAATAACTTTTAACACTTGCAATTAAAAATAATTATTTGTTTAATACTATTAAAACTCTTTTTATTCTTGCTCCTCTAATAATCATAATAAAATGTTATAAAAACTCATAAAAGTAAAGCAGTTTTTTGTTTATGGTTTCAAAATTTATCAAAATTAAAACTAAAAACTCAAAACTATTTCATGCTAAATGGAACGTAATTTTTTATGAGTTTAATTTCAAAAATTAAACCCTAAAATTGGTACATTAAACACATTGCTTACTAAATTATTTACTAACTTTTTTTTTTCTTTTAAGAGTAGTGAAGAATGTAATTTTTCAAAAATTATTTATTTTTTTGATTATCTATTTTTCTTGGATCGAGATTTTTTTTTTTTTGACCTTTATTGAATAAAGAGTTTAATCTATTAACTTTCTCTATATAAACATGCATGCATGTAGATGCATGTACATGTGCCACTTAATGCTTAATTGACCTAATTTTTAAAATAGTTTCTTGGATGTAATTATATTCAGTGGCGGAGCCAGTGGGTGCGAGGGGTGGCGCTCGCCCCCTCCCTCTGAAATTTGGAAAATCTTGCAATTAGTTTATGAAAAATTATTTAACCTCCCTTGAACTTTGAAAATTTTAGTATTTTGCCTCCCGAAAAAATTTCTGCCTCCGCCCCTGATTATATTGAACATAATTTTTTTAAAAAGTGTTTTAGATTTTCTTATAAGTTGATTTTAACTTTTTAAGAAAATAGAAATGTAATCTTTTTTTTACTTATTTCATATTATTATTATGTGATTATTATAAGAGTTCAATATAGAATAAAACTCTAGGTAAACTTGTGACTTCATTTGATTCATAGAAATGAAAAAAGAGTTCTTTACTTTTTTCAGTTCCTTTGTTAATGATTTATCTCAATCTCTCAATTTTTCTAGGTTCATAAAAATCATATAAAAAAATGCTTATCGATTGAATGAAGAAAAAATAGGATTTTAATGTCTAAAAAATTTACGTCTTACTAACTCAATTCTTAAAATTGTTTTGTTCGAGAGAAATGGCTCACAGTATGAAGAGATCTTTCATTTTTCTTTCATACATCCACTTTATTTAGATAGATTAAGATTAAGGGGTGTTTATTTTTTTAAATAAAAAATTATTAATTGTTAAATTTAATTAAATAAATTAAATATTTTAAATTATAAATAATTATTATTAACTGTTAGGTATTAATTATTTAGTATTAATTGTATCAAAAGATTAATCCAAATAACCTCAAATAAAGAAAGTTCTTTCTCTCTCTTTCCTTGCCCTTAATTTATTTTTTGATTTTTTAACCTATAACTAAGGATACTGTTTTAGTATTAATTATTATTGAAAAAATAAAAATTAATCTTTGTTTAATCAATTATTTAACTAAAATAATCCACATGGTATAAATAATAAAATTAATATTAAATTTTACCATTTTTAATACCAATCATATAAAAATATGTAGTAATTATACCATCAACCTAAATCCTAACCATAACCGTTTATTTTGTTTCAAATAAAGGGATTTTTTCCCTCTCCTACCAAACAAACTTTTATTATTTTTCTTTTCAAAGCAAGGCGTTGGCGGTTGGCCTGCCTGGGAAGTGCATTTTGCCACACTTTTTCTCGAAATATTGTGTTTAAAAATCTAAATATATTATTTTTATTCAACTTTAGTAG